CTAGAATCTCGTCCTTATCCACAACTCTCATGTCTTTGCATCAAGTTGGAAGTGATTGTGATCTCAAGTCCTACATCTATTTCTGCATTTCACCTCACAAAGATGTCTCCTAAATGCTTTGCAAGCGAAAAGTCAAGTTTGTCACGAAATTCTCATAGGACTAAATGATAGATTTACGTTCAATGTTGCTCTAAATCTGTGATCTTTCTAGCGATCTGATAAGTTCTAATCATGTCTGTCACATAAGTGTCCAATTAGGTTTTATCTTTGTTAGTGATATCTCATTTAATGCTCTTGTGGTTTTAATATAACAGCTAATCATCATACCTTTATGTATATCAAAATAAAATAATAACATGCATAACATATTTTATTCTAAACATTTTTATCATAATTATTTCATGAATTCAAGTTTAAATGATTCATAAATCATGCTAGAAAATAAGTTAAAACATAACATTCCACCCATACCTTGGATTCGTTGGATGGTAGTAGATTGAAGAGTGTTAAATGTCAAGGGTCTTATTTTAATACTTGTGTAATAAAATCTGATTATATATAGAACAAAATAATAAATAAATAAAATAAACAAGTAAATATGTTAGCATAAGTAGAAATTATTTTCCTAGCAAATTGACAAGTTATATTGAAACTACTTGAGTTTTTTTTCCTAAAACAGTAACCAGCAACATTTTATTCAAATTGTAAAGCTACACCTTTTTTAATACAGCAAAAAAGAAAACATTATTTTTGCACAACAAGAAGAATGGACGTTGCATGAATATATGAAAACTTTGCAGAAACATTTTGCTTTTGTCACTCTAGAAAAAAATCCATATGGGATTTATACTTTATTTTATAGTGCTTAATAATTAAGCAAAAAGTAGTGGATTAGGGTTAGGGCTTGGTCAATAGGAACATTGCATTGTCTTCTCCATTAGTATAGCGATTGTCTACTAGAAGTTGATGTGGTTGGCCATTGTTGAACACTAGGGTTTATTAAGAATAAATGTGGTGGATTTGGGAAAATTTTGAAATGGGAATTTGGATTTTGAAGATAAAAAATGTGTTTGCCCTTTTTATTTTTTTTTAAAGAAGGTAAAAACATGTTTCTCATTACATTTGGCACAACGTTTTAGATGGACTGGGTAAACATGTTGATTTGGCACATTTTTAATGGTTTGAGTTGCCACATTCAATATCTGTTTGTCACGATGGCGAATAAAGTAATAGATTTTTTAGGGTGATGGATAAAGTGCTAATGGAAAAGGTTCAGAGAGCATTGTGAAATAGTTTAAAGTTTCGTGAGTAATCCGTGACCATGATATAAGTTAAATGATTTTTTAAATATTTAACTCTCCAAACAAGTAAAGCTTATATTAACTTTTATCATTAACAGCTATAAAAGATTCTTTTTTTGATGTGACCATTGAAAAGGAAATTGTCAAAAGAGTACATGCACATTGGGCTATCACAAATTGACAAACCCGATATATGTAATCTACTCCAACACAAACCAAACTAATTTGCATAATTATTGTGAGAGAAAAGTGAATTGCACTCATCATTTTTAGTGATGATACGGAATTTTGGAATTGATCTTAATTGATGGACTTTCTCAATAAGAGTATGGGCATGCGTTCATTAACGGATGGCTAGATGTTATCAATAAAATATGGGATAATTGTAGATGTGCACCCAAAGCTTTCAAAATATTGCATTATTTTTCATAACCTTTCATTCGTTGTAACCGTCATCCCAAATATTTCAAAACGTTGCAACTAAAGTCCATATAGATGGATTCCATCCATATTCTTGTTAATTGACAAACAATTAAAATAATTAAAAGAAATAAACCAAAAAATAAAATAAAAGAAAAATTCATCTTCTTCACCGCATTCCCCACCCTAAATCAAAACCAAAATCATAGTCATCATCGTCATCACCATTGCAACTAATCACCTAGCCTCACAGCGTACCACAAACCGCTACCTACCATCTCCACAAAACACCTCACCCACCATCGCCATTGCCATTGGTCGCCTACCCACACATCGCATCACAAATCACCACTATTTGAAAATCTCCAAAACTAATTTTGCACAAAAGATCCTTAATCACTACAAATTCCAATAATTACAGGCTTGTCAATGCTTAGGTTTAATACCACCGTTAAAATAAATTATTTTAATCATTTTCGAATTGCATTCCCATGCATACGGAATAAATTACTGTACATTCACTTGGGCATATCATAGATTAGATCTGCAAGTTGAAACTTGCATTTTTCAAGAAACAATGGACTTTTTTATTTTGTGTTATGAAGGGACATTTGGATCATCAATATATACAGCTGTAGAAATTCCAAGATGATAGCAACCTAGAATTTGTGGTTGAAGTGGTTTCAATACACCCATAATTATGCATAGATATATACAAATCATACACATACATACAGATTCAATGGCGAAGGTGGGTGAGGTGGCGTTGGTAGGTGGCAGGCGGTATAAGTTCTGATTTTGTTTGGTTTTTCGGTATGGTGGGGTAAACGAAAATCATGCAATTTGATCTTTGGATTTTTGTTTGATCTTTTGATTTTAATTATCTAATGAGATAAAATATAGAGTTACCATTTCATCCTCGCCTATTCTGATAAAAAAAGGTCAAATTTTTTAATTTCAGCAGTCAACTGACGACAAAAAAGACAGTTTGCATCCATTTGGGTCTCAGCTGCAACGATTTGAAAGGTTTGGAGAATGAAAGTTTAAGGGAAAGCTGTAACCGTTTGAAAGATTTTGGAGTCATAGCTGCAATTATCCCATAGAATATTTATGAGTTTGGGTATCTAAGTGAGCACTCTAAAGAGCTAAAGTTTATGCGAACTCAAATTAAACTAATGAGCATTCACAAATGCAAAGCCTCATGAGCGATCTTAAGTGAATAATGAGAGCCAACATACTTTAACAAAAGCATAAGGATTAAACTAGCGAATAAAATGTAAGCAGGTAATAAAATCAGTTTGAAGTCAGTTAATATGTATGCCTCTACTAATAGACTTGGACAATAAGAGAGTCTTCCGTGCGTTAAAAGGTCATCTAGGAGGGTTTTGCACCAATTACATTTCTATTTTAGTAGATCTTACTAAGTAGTGTTTTAAAACCTAGACTAACAATGGTTCAATCAGAAACCCTGTGATTTGGTCGTCAATTCGATCTTAGTAACTTTATTAGATTGATTTACAATTGATGTGACAAAGGAATGAAAAAATCATCAAGTTTTCATTAAAGACCATTGACATTTGACGTCTTAACCCGACGGTTCATTGCTAATGGAAAATTTTTAAAATTTATTTAGGATTTGATTAATAGCTAAACTTTTTAGGCTTCAATTTTCACATTTTCTAGTTTTACCTTCTATTTGCCCTAAATTATCCCCTATTTGGTGGAAATTAAAATTAGATTTTTAGTAGATTTTTATAAAAGTTTTTAAAATTAGATTAAAATTATACACACACGTGTGTGTGTAAGAAAAGTGAAAATGTGAAGTATATCATATTGGCATAAAACAAAATTCTAATGTCAGCATATCCAGTAAAGTCAATACATTTTTCTTTTCCAAGCCTATATTGTGATCGAGATCTAAAATATGTAAAGAAAAAAATATAGAACATATTATTTTTCTACCATGAATTTTTTTATTTCATCTTGAAAATCATTTATCTCCTCGAGTTTTTTAATAAAGATTTAAAAATAAAGTAAGAGTAGTTTAATGAATGGCAATTGTTATCTCTAGTTTAGTAATGCATAAAATAATTTTTATTATACTTGTCAGGAGTTGACTATCAATTTAACCACCCGGTTAGCAGTTGAACTATTGACCCACCTATTTGTTCAATTCGACGCCAGAGTTGGATATGAAAATTATGTTACTAAGAGTTCATTACTTTAAAGTTATAATTCTTGCTACAAAGGGATAACAGTGAAAAAAGTTGTGTTTATCTTTACACGTGTTAGAGTTGATTGAAGATCCAACTGAAAAACTTACATAGTATCACAAATAGAAAGACTTTACATATATCTTTCTCACAACTTTTTGTGTTTTAATATATCTAACAATTTATTTTTGTGCGTTTTTAGTCTTTCATAACGTCCAAAACATGAATTATATCGTCACATAGACCTCACACAATGAAAAACGTGCAAGTATGACCTAAACTAATGCCTAGTCAAATAAATGGTAGTGATGCAATTCTCAACTCCAGACCATGCAATTTACAACGAATCATATTTGTATGTCCCTCTAGCCCCCGCCCCCTTCCCTGCCCCAATTCAATAGTTATACTTGATCCAAAATCTAAGGGAAAAGGACTTTGAACAACCTAACGAGCAAGGCCCCCCCAATAGAGGGATGTCACACAACCCCCTAGACGTCCAAGGGGTTGTTCAAGTAGCAGCACACAAAATTTAAAGTTCACCAGATAGAAGAATACAGGATTAACAAATTGTAATAATGGTATACTTGGTCAAATTTTATATAACATTTTTATTTACAAGAACATCCAATCAAATTCAAGTGGAGAGAAGGAATGCACATAAAACTGGTATTATAATTTCAACTAAAACTGCATTGAGTGTCAGTGGATGACTAGATTTCAATTCTACGCGCAGGAAATATCGCCAACCTTGGGCGGTGGTTGGCTAGACAATTAAAGAATAAACTTGTTGATCTTAACCAATTGAATTTATTTATATATGTATTTCGATATATTTAAAGTTTACATGGTGTCTAGACATTAATGTTATTACCCTTTCTATGGCATGAGGTGCACGCAACTTTTTTTAGCCTGGATGGCAACGTTGCCATATTGTGTCAAAAAATGGAAATTCAGAGACAAACTGTCAAGAGATAAAAGTTAGAGGTAAAAGTGTAAAAAGTACAGGAGTTGGGGAAAATACTACAATTTTTCTAAATAGGCTATATTGCAGTTTACGCTTCCGAGCTTTTCCTCTAATCTATTTTCGCCCAATTTCGAACCCTAATTCCGACGAAGACAGGGGCATTGGCTACTTGCATACAATGCTGGGCGGCTTGTACGGAGATCTCCCGCCACCATCCTCCACCACGGATGACAGCTCCACAACTACATCCACCACTAATGTGTGGTCGAGCAGCGCCAAGATGGCTCCACCCACCCTACGGAAACCCTTCCCCCCACCTCAGACCATTCTCAGGACCCAGCAGCCGAAGACCAAGCCGAATCCTACCATTTCTAGGGGGCCCATAACTCACTCCACTTCTGCCATCTCTGACGAGTACACCACCAGTCCTGCCACGGCTTCGTTTCAGCCGGCTCTTGTCGGCTTCTCAAGCTCCGTAATCGAGGAGTACGACCCGGCCCGGCCCAATGATTACGAGGATTACTGCCGGGAGCGGAAGCGGAAGCAAGCCGAGGCGGAGATGAAGATAGAATTAGAGGAAAGAGAGAGGAGAGAGAGGGAAAGGGAAGAGAAAGAAAGGAGGGATCGGGAGCGTGACAGGGATCGGGAATTGAGTATATCTGGAGAGGAGGCGTGGCGGAGGAGGGCGGCAATGAGCAGTGGCGGTGGCAGTGGAGTGCCTAGATCGCCATCGCCACCATCGGCAAATGCGACTGGGGAAGGTTTTAGCATTGGTAAGTCAGAGAGTGGGGGTTTGGGTTTGGGGGCGGAGGGTAAGATGACGGCAGCACAGAGGATGATGGCAAAGATGGGGTGGAAGGAAGGTCAGGGATTGGGGAAGCAGGAGCAGGGGATCACCACTCCTCTGATGGCCAAGAGGACCGATAAGAGAGGTGGGGTTATTGTGAACGCCAGCGAGTCCAACAAGAAGGTTAAGAGTGTCAATTTCAACGGGACTCCCACCCGCGTTGTGCTGCTCAGAAACATGGTATGTATTATATATGAATAGATGTTTATTCATGTGTTTGTAGTCTGTTACATGTGTTCTCGGAAAATTCTATGCTATTCAAATTTTTGCTACGATAGTGAGGTGTATAGGTTTGTTTTGCAAATGTACGAATAGTTTGCTTCTTCGACTTTAAACTATGATTTTAGTAGAAATTATGCACAAAGTAGGGATCATTTATTCCTGGGTTGTGTTAATTTACCGATAGGTGCCCCAAGACTGAATATGTGAATTTTTCTTGAGCCAGACAATGTGGTAAAAATAATTTCCTTGAGGAAATTTGTCTACTTGTTTGCACTAACTATACAAACAGTTTTAAGTCTTGGAATGTGAACATTTGTTGGGCAATATGGTTAAAAACAGTTTTCCGGTGACTCGTCAGAGTTGTGGTTTTATACACGAGGGATTTCAGTGTTAAATTTTATTCGAAAGGAAAAACTTCTTGTGCTTATTGTTGAAAACTGGCAAATGAATGTTTGCAATGTTTCTTTCATTTAAAGGATTTCGATGTCCAATTTAAATCTGTCTATATGTCTGCACTAGGCCATCTCCAACCATTAACATCAAATTGGAGCAACTCACACCGTTTTTTAAAGTCATCTCCAAATATTACACTAAATATTATACCAAATGATCAGTGTTTCATTTATTTCCTTATTTTTTATTTCTCAGCAAACAATTTATTTCAAAAACTATCCAATTACAAATTATATTATTACTAAAATTATTAAATATTAAATATTTATTTAACTAAAATATTGCATTTATTATTTAAAAATAATAGTCAACTTAAAATAAAGTTAAATCAATAAATAATGAAAGGATATAATAGGAATTAAAATTTATTGTAGTATAAAATGAGAGGTAAAATAGGAATTATGAAAAATTCTAAAAATCACACTAAATGAATAGTTTTACACCAAATTTGGTGGAACACTATTCATTGTACCAAATCGGTGTAGAGTTTGTGTTTTGTTAGAGTGGATTTTTGAAAACACCAATTTGGTGCATGGTTGGAGATGCCCTAAATACAAACAAACCATCATAAGTCTTGGAATGGGAACATTTGTTGGGCAATGTGGTTAACTATAGGTATCTGGTAACTCATCAGTTTGTTGTTGTATACATGAAGGAAATGAAAAGAAGACCTTGTGCATATTGAACGATACTTGCAAATGAATGTTTGGAATGTTTCTTTCATTTAAAGGGTTGCAATGCTCAATTCAATTCGTATTGTCAATACTTTCCTCAGGGATAGAGTAGCGTGCCAAGAGTCAATATATTTTAAACTAAGAATAATGTCATCCAAGGTGGCTGTAGATTATTGTTTATTTTATTGTCACTCCTATCCGAGTTTATTGAGAAATAAAAAATATACACTTTCATGGTACCATATCGAATTGACTTCAAGTATAAAACTTGCTTTATTTTCTATGTTGTGCTTTTAATTATGGGATGACTTAGATGTTTTGCTCTACATCTTGGCTTGTCAGTCTAGATTAGACCTGTGCTTTTAATTAGTATTTCTGTCCTACCATTTTCTACTTTTGCAAGCATTTCTCTCTTTCCATTGGTCCCCCATCCATCATGGCGTGTTTTTATCCCTCTCTCCTCCATCTCTGAATTCATAGAGCTACCTGCCATTCATTTTTTTCTTTACACAAATGCTGAGATCAACAAGATGTCTTTCTAAATTTGAGGACAATATTGTAAAATATCATAATGTCTGTTGATAACAACCCAAATTATCTTAAAATTGGGTAACTATGAGAGCAAATGGTTGTGATGTGGGACATTGACGTCACCAGTCAGCGGTCACCACTCTTTGGTCATGCCCAGAGTGAACAAATACACTAGTTCCATGGTGGTTCAGAGGAGCTTTTCACCTGCTTTCTCAAACTTACATGAGATTAAAAAATTGAAAGGAATTTATCACTTCTCAACCAATGAGAACCGTGAGGAAACATTTTTAAACAGCTCAAGATTTCTCCAGTACGATTACAAGTTGCTAATAGTCAGTGGAGATGAGAAGGAATGTGAGAGAGAGATTGCATTTCTTATACCCAGACTCAAGGTGTTCACGTGCTAACTCTTGATGTGCTAGAAATCATAATGATCAGTAAACTGCTGTAGTTTGTTTCCAGAAAGTCAGCTAGTGAGTTTCCTGCGTCCTACCAGGATCGCAATGTTGAAAGAAAAATGGGATTTGGGGAATCCCAAATGTGTATTTGATCTCAAAGGCAGGCTCTGTATGTAGAAGCATCTTTGTTTGTATTAACACACTTCAGTTTTTTCCCTCTTATTAAGCTGCTGCTCCTATCTCATAGCATGTTATTCGATTGAGGATAATCTGAAAGTTGACTTGGGACATTACAAACAAAAATCTCAAACCCCCCCAAACCCCCGCCCCTCCACCCCCCCCCCCCCCCCCCCCCAAAAAAAAAAAAAAAAAAAAAGGAAGAGGGAAAATCTGAAGGTGCATTTTGTGGATATGGATGTCCATATAATTTTGTTTTTGTCATAGTATTTTGATCGGTACTGTGCCACTTGTTTATTTATAAGTGGTTAATAACCACTGATCTTGCTGCAATGGCTCTTTTTATGGCTGTAATCGATGATAATGTTTCGTGGTTGTCTTTTGCATATCTACTGGAGTGTATATTTTGCCTATATTTCAAATATAAGGAAATGATTAATTGTGATTTCTTTGTGAAGGTTGGCCCAGGTGAAGTGGATGATGATTTAGAAGGTGAGGTAGCAGAGGAGTGTTCTAAATTTGGGGCAGTGACTCGCGTCCTAATATTTGAGATTACAGAAGCAGGTTTCCCACACGATGAAGCCGTGAGAATCTTTGTTCAGTTTGAGAGAGCAGAACACGCAACTAAAGCCCTTATCGAACTTGAAGGTCGCTTCTTCGGGGGTCGAACTGTTCGAGCTTGTTTCTACGATGAGGAGAGGTTTGGTAATAATGAGTTGGCTCCTCTGCCAGGAGAAATCCCTGGCTTCTTTTGAACATTTGTTTGAAGTTGAAGATGCATGTCAGTTTGCTTGTTCATGTTAGTGAATGTGTAGGCACTTTTCAGAATGTTACATAGAAGTTACAAATAACGTTTGTTAAAAGTCTCCTGTCCGAACAGTTTGCATTAGTGGAAAGAAAGTGCAAGTTTGTGCTTTGATGAAGATTGTAACCAAATAGTCACTCAAAATATCTCAGTTGCGGTAATTTCTCTAGCAAAAAATTTACTTGCAAGTTGGTAAGCAAGCTAAAATAATTACTTTGCTGAACTTGGTTTTCCCCAGATAAAATAATAATTAAAAAAAAATAAGTTTCTTAACCAATAGAAGAGATGATAAGCATTTGTTTGGTAGAGAATAAGCCCTCAACTTTTAGTAAAAGTAGATAGAATGTGTAGTTGAAAAGTTGTGATTTCTATAAAATATGTGATTAAGAGTAATTATTGAAGTTGATTTAGATTTTAATCAGATTTTTTAGCGGTACCAAACATGAGCAAAATATTTTGTATAAATTTTACAACTAAAATTAAATAATCCAGTTGGATTGGCTAGTTTTCCAATTTTCAGGTATATTCTGCCCCTTCTTTCTCTAAAATAATGTGCTATACTAACAAAACAGTTAACGGAAAAGCATGAGAAAATATTTGTAGAAGTTGGCTTAGGAACCCTTCAAGTACGATATTGAGCTGGTTCAACTGGCGTGTTCTGATTCGATTCCCGGGCCTCGGAAAATGAGTACAACGGTCCTTTCTGAAAAACGGAGGAGGTGGTGGTGGAGGGCTTCTGTTGCGTGGCATCATGATGAGATGAACACGAAGAATGAATGGCAAGAGTAGTACTATTAGAGCTTGAGCCACATCCACCGTAGAAGGGTAGGCAAGGGGATGAGTGGTGGACCGCAGTGGGGTCTTCGATTGTAATGCGACGAGGCAAGAATATTGTTGAGCATTCTCCGCTGCCATTGGCAGCGTTGGCTCCCATAAAGCTGCCTGTTGGCATCGGTGTAGCTCCGTTTCTTCCTCCGCCACAAAGGTGACATATGCCAATGCCCTGTAAAGAATCGAAACATATGAGCATATATACAGATTAACCTTCTTAAAAAGAGTAGTGCAACTTCTTATATGTGGATTAGTATTTTTATACTCAATCAATGTGGATTTTACCGTTAACATGTAGAATTACATTATATATATATATATTGATACATACGCTAGATGTGGCGGTGGTGATGGAGGTGGAGCGGTAGGTTGTGCCATCCGGCTCAACGACCCATCCGGCTTCTTGGGCAAGGTGGCGGAGGACTTGGTTGATATCAGCACGAGGAGAGAGGCGGTAGCCGCCGTGCTCACGGAGGCCATGGAAGATCTTTGTTGTGATGGACCTCCTCTTCCTCTCTCTTATCTTCGTCCTCTCCTTTTCAACCTCACTTCTTGCATTCCCACGATTTCTTTCTCGTCCATCTTCCTTCATGTTGTTATTTCCAATTTTTTTCTTTTCCCTAATTTCCCAAGTTTCTGAATTCAAGTAGAAGAACGGGAAGACAGTTCCCTGATGAGAAGATTTTGAATGACAGAAAAAATAGAGAAGTTACGAGAATCATATTGCATGTTGGATGTACAAAATTGTTCTGATTGGAGGGAGGTTGATTCACGCGCATGGAGCCATTAGCCATATCTCTTTCTCTTTTTCCTTTTACCTTTTATGTTAGTTTTAATTATTGAGAACGAATTAAGTCACGTGGTTCTATATTTCGATCGTTGTGACTTGCTTCTACGGAATTAAGATCGAAAATATTGAAAAAATCAATCATTCATAATCACCAACGGAAGACTCCTCATATATTAAGAATTAGTAAATAATCTATCTACAATTGGAATATTACGTCACATTTCATTCAAAAATTGACTATTCCGACCAATATAATTTAGCCCACTTGATGTAGGTTCTTTTAAATAGATTTTGTGAATGTGGTTTTTTTAATAAGGGATAAAAAGTAGAGAAACTTTACTAATCTACATAAAAATTTATTTTATTGAAAATGAATTTTAAAGAATCTTTACCAAAGAATGATTATTACATTTTAAATGTCGGTATTATATCTGGACACGGACTAAAATTTTGCAAGAGATGAGATGAAGAGATTTGTACCATTCAACAGAAAAATAAGGTAGTAATCATGGGGTAAGTGTGATCCTGCATGAGATGTACTACTATTCTATGTTTTCATAGAAGTCGTTTTAGCTAGAACTTAAACCTTGTAGCGCAAAAAAATCGAGCACGATAGGATGAGCTTATAAGCTTCTTACTAATAAAATTAAGTTTATCAAATTCATTTTCAATTATATATTTCATGAGATCTGTCGTCCTTATCAACTTTTCACATCAATTTTTATTAAAGTCTATTAAAAATATATTTTATTCAAATCTAACAAACGCTTAGTTACATTGGTAATTGTGCGTGTTACTTCATAGGCGTATGTTATGAAAAGTTATACCATTGACATCTTGAGTTCATATATATATAGCATTTTACAAAGGAAGTGGGATTTTTGTAACAAAGGAAATCTTTAAAGACGTTAATCAACAAGAACTTAAATTGCAAAAATTCTTCATTTATTTTAATCAGGTAGTCACTTGTTTGAAGGTAACGTTGTTCATGACGTATTGTGAATTTAATTTGTTTTTATTAATATTTTAATATACATTAACCATATCATAATTTTTTTTGGGTTGAAATGCAGTATCGTAAATAAGTAAATAAATTTATACTACATCACTTCCTTGAATTACCTCGGCTTCAATGGTTAAGGACTTGAAAGAACATGTTTGATGTAGATTTTTTGAAAATAATTTTGTGAAAACTGATATTTTGAAGAATATGTGATAAAAAATATAGGAAGAAATTATCGATTGAAGTGTAAATTATTATATTGAATGTATAGTTAAAAATGTATTCCAAATATAAAAATGGACTTGTTGTGAAATGGTAAATTTATTAGTGAATGGCCCTACAACCTTAGAAATTATTACCGTTGTATCCTTGATTCTTCCTTATAAATATAGGGCTTTAGTTCTTAATAAGATACACCAATTTATTGACTTCTCTCTATTTCGTTTTTTCTCTCTTTTAATAATATGTTATCAGCACGATAACTTAATTTTTCATAGTTTAGTGAAGTTAATCAAATGACAAATATCACAAAATTTGAATTTGGGGCATTTGACATATTGGTAAAAATTATCTATCATAGATACTTAATGCTAATATCCATTTTGTTTCGAAAGGTTTGGAAGAGACAATAAAAATAAGGAAACAAAGAATTATTGCAAGATCATGCAAAATTAATTATCTCTGTTTGTTATCATCTTCACGATGAATTGAAAATTGACTAAAAAGATTAACTGTAAGATTTGATCATCAAAGGACTATAATCCTCCCCAAAACCCGCTATGAATGGATGCATCTTCGTTTGCAAGACTTTAAAACGGTTAGTCAGTACAATTCTGAACTGTACAGAATATGTTCAGAATTAACTTTGTATGGAGAAGAAACACCAATCAAAATATGTTGGAGAAAATTTTTTCCATCTTCCACGCTTCAAACGTGCTCCTGCAGCAGCCATATCGTGAGCGTAGTTTCAAAAAGTATTCAGAACTTATATTTGCTTACTTATTGTTGAACAAAATAATGAACTACTGATAAAAAATCATGAATTACGTCCAACTAGTTTTTTACTATTGCCTAAAATAAATGATACTGCACTGCCTGAAGCAAATGTAAAATCAAGACAATGACGTGGACGTGGATGTTGACGTGCACGTGAAATAAATCGTGGATGAAATAATCAACAAAATCATCAACAATAAGGCAACAATCTCAAAAGGCATTAGTACATCCAAAAATGAACACGAAAAAAGTTGCTTTAGATGTAAAACGAAATAGCATTGGACCTGTCGTACGGTAAAACATCTTGTGGATCTTTACCAAATCAGTCAAGAAAAAAGGAAATGTAGAAACGACTTTTACAGATTATAATAGTCCAATTAATATGACTCATTTGTATGTTTTCGATTTCTTTGTTGATCCAAAATGAAATATCGACCATTTAATTGGTGGTGATGTGATGGAAAATATAAATTATTTTACTTTTTATATTCCCTTTGTTTTAAAATTTTAATTTAAAATATGTTTTTACTTTTCGCAAAAAAATAAAATAAAAATAAAAATCGAAACTTTATTATGTATCGTTAATTTCATAATATTAATTATGCAACTCTTTTAAATTTAATTTCAAAATTTTTAAAAATATATTTATTTTGTTATATTTATAGATTCATGATGGGTTGTCAAGACTTTTGTTTGATCGATAGTGCAACTATATATATACTATTCTTCAAGATAAAAAATATTTTTGAAAATCATTGAAGGCTCAAGAAAAGTTTATATTATTTTACCAAACAATACAAAATTATATGTTGACAATACATTTTATTGTAGAAAATTCGGAAGAAATTTGCTTAGTTTTAAAGAATTCGTTGTAATGATATTGTATTGAGACGATGAAAGAAAATAATATTGAATATATTTGCATGCACTCGCATCTGGCATGTATTGTATATTTATAAAAATAATTGAATCAAATATTGTCATGAAATAGAAGTTCGTTGATTCAAAAAGTTTTATACTTTGGCGTGATTAACTTGGACATTCAAGAACTATAACGATTAATCGAATAATAAACAACATACATGGACATCCATTAAAGAACCAGAAGATTCTTTTATCTAATGATTATCCATGTATAGCATGTTCGCAAGACAAGTTAGTCATTAGACCGTCGACTACAAAAGTCAATATAGAATCTCCAACTTTTTTTGAAAGAATTCATGGAAATATATGTGGTTCAATACACCCACCATGTAGACAATTTTGTTATTTTATGGTATTAATTGATTTTTCTACTAGATGGTTACATATTTGCTTACTTTCCACTAGAAATGTAGCTTTTTCAAGACGACTTGCTCAAATCATAAAATTACGAGTACAATTTCTCAATTACTCAATCACTCAATCAAGACTATTCATCCTGACAATGCTGGTGAATTTAGATCACAAGCATTCGATGACTATTGCATGTTGATTGTGATTGTTATTGAACAATTGGTTGTGCATGTCCATACACAAAAATGATTAAGTGGAGTCGTTTA